ACACCCGGACAGACACTGTAGATCTCTTTTCTATATTACTAAATCACTGGCTGAGGCTGCAGGGGGATGGCAGTGTCCCCGCTGGAGGGAGAATTTGTTTGTGTCCAAATCCCACTCGTGTTAAGTGTAAACTTAGACACTGCAGCGGCTGCTTGTCTTGTAGTGCCGCTGTAGCCTTTTATGGTTGGCCTCTCATATCTGCTAATACATCACACAGGGATGAAACATCAGTGTGTGTGTGTGTGTGTGTGTGTGTGTGTGTGTGTGTGTGTATGTGTGTGACCTTGTGTGTGAGCACGTGCTCAGGTGTGTGCATCTTCATAATCGTTTTGGCACTGTCATAGTCAGCTGCTTTCCCGACAGTTTGGCTCCAACAAAGGGTGGTCTGCTACTAACACAAATGACTATTACCCAGCCATAAATTACATTAACACCTTGCCTAAAACTCTTTTTAAATTATTACATTTAATATTGACTCGATTTAATGCTTTATGTACTTTATACTTATATTTATCTGTTTAATATTGTTCCTCTTATCCTTTCATTGTAATTCCACTACTGAAACTTATGTCTACTTTGTACACATGACACACAGCATGTTTCTCCTTTTTTGTTGCTCTTCCCAAGGTTTCTCAAGTTTTTACTTGTTAAATGTTTTTGTGGACTTTTTAATTATTTATCAGTTTAATATTTTTAAAAAGTATATCAATTCCGACAAAGTAAACACAATTTTAAATCTTTAAAGATGGTTCTCTATGATAAAGTATGTTTATTCTTTATAGCATTGTATAACATTATGCAGAATGTACTGCACATACAAATATGTGTGCCACAGTGTGTAACTCGGTGAAAAAGAAGACATTTGAGCAAATGTGACAAGAAGGAAATGAGGGCACATGTTAACCACGAAGCTGACTGTACATACATTGCAAAGCTTCATGACAATCACAAGAGGAACTCAGGCATCATATGACATGGTCAGATGAATTATTACAATGCACACAGATTTAGAAAAGGTATACTTGTCTACAGATGCGTTTTCAACAGAGACACTGGTACAATAAACACCTTTGCAAGTACACACACACACACACACACACACACACACACACACACACACACACACACACACTGACAGAGGCCATATTCTACCCAATTACAGATAACATAGAGGCCAAGATAAAAATGACACTTTCAATACAAAGTGTTTGGTTTAAGGTCACTCTGACCCTTCAGTACATGATTCCTGGACTGGTGTACAAGTGTGAGGTTTTCATCTGTGTATGTGTGTGTGTTTCTGACAGATGCTGTGTGGAGGTGAAAACAGAACACAGAGTCTGTTAGATGTGAGGTCGGAGCACACATCAAAACACCTGTCATCTCACAGACCCTCTTTGATCAGAAATTTCTCTGACTGCTGTTTTAAAAGCAGCAAGCCACACAGACACTAGGTCTGAAGTGTGTCTAAAGCTCCACTTGTCAGTCCGTTCCTAAGTTAATGGATTTAATTAAACTGTAAAATCCCATCAATGCTGCACCAGACATCTTTTAAAACACCCTTCATTAAGGCTGTTAACTCTACAGCTTACAGTGTCAGCACTGCGAGTGCCATCACACAAAATTATGATTTTACAATGAATAATGAGAGGTTAGTTTTTAATTAAAGATGCATGGTGAAATTGTGCATTCTCACAGCTAGAAATGACTCACTGAGCTCTGCACAAAACTCATCTGACTGACTGCAACCGTTACACACCACAAACCCCAGTCAGGTCAAAATGGTAAACAACAATGAACCCCTCCTCCTCCTAAGGTCACATCCTGTCCACAACCTCTATTGGACCCCTAGGGACAATACCCCCCCTTCTCTGTGTATCCAACAAACCACCTGAAGTATAATCTAAATGTAAAACCAGATTCCCACTGTACCTCTCTTGAAGGACCATCTCTTCATCCAGAGTTTGGAGAAGGATGGCCAGGAGTGGTTAAGAGGAGAGTCCGCCATAGGAGCAGCGCAGTGGGGAGGCCAGCTGGAACTGGAACTCGCTCTCACTGGAGCTCTGGCACCCAGTGAGAGGAAGAGAGGGACAGGGGGGTGGGCGTTGAAAAAGAGCGAGAGAGTGAGTGAGAGAGAGAGAGAGAGAGAGAGAGAGAGCATCCAAGGCAAGGAACATGGAGCTGCTGGTTGGGGATTATCTCCGCAAACAGAGAAAAAGAGCGGGGGGGCAAAAAAGGAGGAGAGGTGACAGTAGAGAGGGAGGGTAGGAAGAGAAAAGGAGGCATGGATGTTTTTTTGCTTCTTCTAGTTTCTGATAAAAAGGAAAGTAACTAAGTTCATTTACCCTAGTATTTTACCTAAGTACAATTTTGAGGTACTGTGCTTGCACATTACATGAGTTTTTACATTTTATGCTACTTTATACATCTATTTTTCAGATTAAGATTTTAAATTACATTCACATGATATGGTTAGAAAATACAATACAAAACTCAGTGCCTACTTGCAGCTCCTTGTCATGTTTCAGATGTCTATGTGCTGTTAGCATTTTCACCCATGAGTGATTTCCCATCTTGTGCTCTTAGATGCTTTCTTTTGAATAACTGTTCAAGGCCCAAAGAGGTCAAATTATCCAATATTTCAAAACAAAGAAAAGATTAGAGAAAAGAATGTATGCAAATATGTGTAGCAGAACAGATTTTATTTTCTTTCCTAACCGATTTATCATCTCAAACTCCCAAGATTTAGCTTGTGGCCCTTTGGAGGGTCGTGACCATTAGGGTGGATGCAGGACTTTTACTTGTAATTGAGTATTTTTACCTTGTTGTATTGGTACAGACAAAGGAGGAGATCAGAAACGGGTGTTTTTGGGGTGGCACAGGAGTGAAAAGAGGGGTGATAAAGGGAGGGAATGTGTATTTTTAATTGTCTAAGACCTCAATCAACACTCAGAATTGAGTTAAATGCCTCGAAAAGCATGTTGTCCAGAATTGTCCAAGACCAGTTTAAATATGTAATTGTTTAAGGAACTAGCGCAAAGACAGAAAAAGAGAAGGAAGTACATGCAATGAAAGTATAGGGGCAATGACAGATGCAGTTTGTTTTCTTAGTTTGACTCACAGGGGGACGAACCACCACATCCTTTGTGAAGAAGTAAAGCAAGTGAAGTCATTTTTAAAATGCTAAAAGAAACTGCAGAGAAACGATCACTATCACGGGAGACAACGTGTCTCTAACTGCTACACCTACTAGACACAGAGTCTGACAATTGTTGCAATGACTGTGCCTATTAATTTGCACAATCTACGGATGACTGTCAAATTCAGCTCACTGCACATCAAGTGGAAAAGTCTCCTTACTTTCCCACAGACAGAGGAGGCAGCGCACTGGCACAGAGGAGGCAAGCAGAAATGTATTAAAGCAGAAGTCTACCGCAGAAAAATACCAATTCAAACAATGCACAGATAAATGCAAGTAATGCACTGGGCTCTAGTATTGCAGACCACAACTCAAAATCCAGATAAAGCAACTTAAACTCTACTTACATGGGATGATATTTAACAGGTGTTCTGTTCACCAAAACAAGCCAAAGAGAGGAGAGAAGATGGTTTAAATTGTCCTTCAGGTCTGACTGAGTTGTGTATGAGCGTCGGTGTCGTCCTCACACTGATTACAGAGAGGCAGCCACGGGATCTCAACCCTGCTTCCTCTTTTTTCATTCTGTGCAGCTGACAACTAAGTGGAGCCAAATGACACATCGCTGCTGCTCTGAAATATGCTGTGGCAGCTCACACACTCCATGGGGGGACAGCACTAACCAGGGTGCAACTACAAACTCTTAAAATGACCAGAACAGACAATTTTCACCATCTACTACACTAAAATAAAACTAAAGGCAATGCATTCATGGTTGGACATCAGTGCACACATACACTCATCATTGAGTTGCAGTGTTATCTCAGGACTTTCATTAGTCTGATCTCTCATGTTCTACGTTTTCATGTTTTGCAGTGCTCCCTTGCACAGCCTTAAGAAACTGGGTTAGGAGGAACTAGCTGCGTTTATAGTGGTTTCAGTCACAGTCATAACTTCATCTGAATCGCACACCGGTGCGCATTGTACCACATGGAATGAATGCCGAGGCTCATGTGAATGAGCTGCCAGGCCTGGTGTTTTAAAGTGAAATAAAGTTCACAAGCAGTGAGGAGGATAAGGGCTTACAGTTAATGAAAATTAACATATTACATGGTGTGGTAGAATTTAATAAACTATAGCAGCGTAATATTATAAGTATCATGAAACTGTGTTGCTCTCTTTACTTTTGCTTCAAAGTATTTCTGTGTTTGAATCTTCGACTGACTAGGAAAGTGTGAAGAAATAATTTCACCATCTCTCTCAACTGCTGTCGAGACGCCATTGAGTGAGACACTAAAGTCACGCGATCCGATCATTTCAGCAGCCAGCAGAAAGAGGCCTGATGGCTGACCTTGTTAGTGAGGTGTGAGTGTGAAAAATGAAAAGGCAGGAGAGCGCATGAAAAGAACATGAATCACTAAAAGATCTGAAAGAATCTCACAGAAACAAAAGGAAAGAATTACTGAGCTCTTACATAATAGTAACAATAGCACAGATACTCCATTACAAGTTTTACTTCAGTAAAAGTATCTATATTATACATATAAAATCTTGTGCTTCCTGTATATAGAACATAACCAGTAACTACAGCTGTGTATGAGGTATAAAATGGAAATAAAAGTACAATTTATTCAAGAATAGCTCCTTGGAAAACTTACTTTACTTCACTCTACTTCTGAATTTATTTTTTTAACTCCACTTATTAGCTTTTCCCAGAGCTTTCAGCTGCATCTCAGTCTTCATCAGTGAAGTGATAACAACATTTGGTTGGAAATTTGGGTAAACTAAAAGGTAACTTGCAATTCTAGGTTTTGTAGGAAATTTGCTACCTGCCTCAGTCCAAAGTGAAGAAGTGCGAGAAGACACATATTCTCCAATAATTTTATTCATAATTTTAATATAAACAGTTAATTGTTGAATAATTTACACACAGCAAGATTTTTTATTTTCATATCATTGCAACATTTTCTGTACATGTCACTACTTGGCTCTCCTTTGAAAACATAGAAAAAATAAATTGTCAAGCGTTCATTTAGTCATGGCACATTTTTTATCCTGTACAATATGCGTGTGTGTGTATATGCGTGCGTGCGTGTGTGTGTGTATATGCGTGTGTGTGTGTGTGTGTGTTCAATATGTTGATATATGTGATACATAAAGATAATGGCACATTTGGATCCAGTGTGAGGGATGAAGCGATCTCTGTGGGTTGCGGGTTTGGGGTTTGGACTGTACATACACACAAACAGAATACACCTGCTGTCTGCATACGCACCGATGTCTCAACATAATGTACACACAACATATCCCAAAATCAATATATCAGCATATTCATCTGCAATAAATGACATTAATAAAGAGGTATCCTGCAAGACTACACACAGCATTCTGGGGACCACCTATGTGCACTGAGGAGAAAAAGAGACTTTAAGGACACAGGAAGAGAGGAAGAGGAGGAGGAGCAGCGATCACAGACAAAGAAAGCTGTGGTAAAGACTTCAACCAAGGACAACACAGACATAACTATTGATTTAAACAATGCACGGTATAGGGAAAAGGCTAGAGATAAATATAAAGGTATTGGTGTGTAAACTGGAGTAGACCACTGGACCGATAGATGACTCTTAAAACTTAAGAAGAGGCTGCTTTTCCTTAAATTTGTCATCTAAACCGGGGTCACCATACCCGCTTCGCCCCCCACTATCTTTAAACAATGGCCTATCTCCCTAATCAATAATACAAATATGATCATCATCACACTACTGACAGACAGTACTTAATTCATTCACAGCTAAAGGTGTGTCACCTTCGTGCTGACCCTCTTTAAAAGAAATAGTTTGACATTTTAGAAAATACGCCTGTTCAGAGGAACAATGTCACTCTCGTACCTGCCCATTAGGCTACAGCCAGCAGCCGACTAGCTTAGCTTAGCACAGGGGGGAACCACTAGCCTGGCTCTGCCCAACAAAATCTGCCTACAAACACCTCTAAAGCTCACTAATTAACACATTATATTTGTAATTTTCACACTTAGGTTTTTGTACGGATTATAATTTATATTATAAATAAACAAGATATACTGTAGTTAATCTGTAACATTAAAATGTGCTGGTACCTTTCGACAGAGACAGGCTGGCTGTTTCTATTGTTTATGCTAAGCTAAAGCTAACAAGATGCATCCTCTTAATTTCCATTTTAATTTCCAATCATCTCACCTAACGCTCGGGAAGAAAGCAAACTAAGTGTTATTTCCCACAATGGCAAACTACTCCTATAACACCTCCAGCTTTACAGTCTAAACTTAAAGATATATGGTTGTTGAACCATGAGTGACGTTTTCGCTTTTTTTTTTCTTTTTTTTTTTTTAGCTTATTCAGGATTGTATCACTCGTTTCCTCTTCTTCAAAGGATGAGCAGTGGTCTTTTCCAGTTTTTCACATATAAAAAAACACATTTGCAAACTAAAACACACATCTCTCGTCAGAAACAATTTCATACAACATTGTGATAGGTGACATATTTGTGACACAGTAAAGGCTTTATGGGTGACATGCTGCTGTGGCTGGGTGGGGTGGTTGAAATGCATGACGTCTTGTCGGCCAACATTCAGATCATGCATCGGGTTAAGAGCAGGGTTCGCTGCGAAACGTTTCAGGCCACGTACTGTTCATGTCTTGTTAGACAGGGTTAAGCCCTCAGACTGGAGTTGTGCTGCTCCTGTTAAATGCATTGACAGACTCAACTCGGCTCTTTTCGGTGTAGTGGGTTGTGTCATGAAAAAACAACAAAAAACAAACCATCTATGTTTTTTTAAATTTAGAAAAAAGTTATATACACATTGAAAACAATGTTAAATTCATATTGTACAAGAGTAGTAAAAGTTTACAGTCAGAAAAAGTAATTGTATTTGCCCTCCATACTTTGGCTAAAAAAAATAGAAATCAACATCTCTAAAATGTAATACTTTTTTCTTTTCTTTAAAACAACACAATAATACATACAAAGCTTTGTTCTCACCCTGCGCTGTGTTACTAGCATGCTCTGACCAACCGCTTTTTAGGTCTTCAGAGTTCAACAAAGACTTCCCTAAAATCAAGTGCTTTCGTTTTTCAGGGGATTAAGGGGATCTGCTGCTATTTACAGTTAAGAGCTTATTAAATCAGTTCATTTCTTGAAAATCACGGAACAACTGAATGCATTTCAAATGGAAATACCCAAATGTAATTAATAATCATGGGTTTTTGCATGTGCTTTGGGGCGTCGCTGTCAAAACAGACTGATGAGAAGCAAAATCAGTAAGCATCAAATTATCAAGCTATCCGCCGGTGTAAATAATTCATTTTCCATGCACAAAGCAAGCCAGTGCTTAGCAGAGTAGAGACACAAGTTCAACATTTCTTTTTTTTGGTAAAAATCATCATAATCCAAATTACAGTATTTTCCCCCCACCAAGCAGTTAGAATATTTTTCTCTACAGTTTCAACTTTTCATTTCATGTTTGGAGGTGGAAAATCCTCTTTAAGTGACTGGTGGAGACACGTGGGGTGGGGTGGGGATGGACTGGTTTGGAGGGGGGGTCAGGTGGGCTGTTAGTCTGAGCAAGGCACTGTGGGTCTGGGCCCTGTTTGCTTTGCCACCCCTGAACTGCAATGCTCCCATCCAACCGCTAGAGGGCAGTCCAGACCACATCACATCAGAGAAAGAGGAGGATTCCTGATTATCTTCAAAGGGGCAGAAAGAGTTCAGATATTTCAAAAAGGTGTTTGGGTTTTTCTTGTTGAAAACTTGTCCATGGGCTTATCATCTCCATTTTGCTTTTTGCAAGGATGCTGAGAAGTTGCGCTTCAGTCAGATTCGATAAATGTAGGTAGCTCTTCCTCCTCAACCTCTTTATCCTCCAAACACAAAGCATCAGGCCGCCTCCCTGAGACGAAAAGTTACAATCTAGATTTAAAGTCTGTTTATAGTTATTATGGCACACAGGATTGTCCAGCTTTTTTTCCCCTCTGGAGAGGAGGGATGGGCGTCTTTTTTAACCAGCCCAGACGTCAGTGTCCTGATCAGCCAAAACAGACCCAATCCATGGCACTGACAGAAAATAAAGGTTATCTCTTGATATTCACAGTAGAAAAAATATATATACAAAACAAAAATCTGAACAGAGAAAAAGACAAATAAACCGACAACGACTGGAGGAGACGTGGGATTTGAACACTAACTGTTTTGACCACAAAGAGACAGACTGATGAAGAAGAGTAGCGCTTTCTGCCAGACAACAGGTTTGATTTAAAAGAGCATGAGGGTCCAGGGCTGAGCTTGGTTAGCCTTTGCTGTAGGTGGTCACAGATATGCATTGAGAGTCGAGTCTGTCTTCTTTACTTTTTGACTCACGTGAATGTCACATCCCCAGAAACCAGTAGAGCCGCTTAGTACGTACAGTCCAGAGGACTGGTGTATAAAGAGAAGGGGAATACACAATATGAAGCTACGCTGCTTCTTCCAGCGTCCAGGGGAGACTGACAAAGAACAGTTAAAAGGGTAGACTGTCCATAAAGCCAATTTACTGCCTGATATTCAACATTTAATAATTGCTAGGAGAAACAATTATAAGGAGAGGTATGATACCTGTGTATCAAGAAGACTTGTCCCTAAGCTCTACACCAGTGACTTGAAATTAGATCTAAAACTGAAACAAGGAGGCAGAGGGGTTTATTACACCAAAAGGAATTAATCAACAGTGTTGGTAATGTATGATAAAGTGATATTATTTGAAATGATGGGATATTGATTGACTGACAGGGATGATTTAGGCTCTTTAGACTGATTCCTCCATATGCACTGAGGTAGACTCTGGCCAAACACAAAGACGACAACAATTACTTACTTACTAACTAACTACCTACCTACCTACCTACCTAGCACTCCTGCTGCTCACCACCAGCTACTCCATCTTTACAATAACAAACTAGGCTTTTACATCGCTCCACCCTCAAACGCCTTAAAAATGCTTGACTAAAAAGCTGTGTTCTTCTTATACAATGACAATGATCATAATAAAATAAATATCTGGTATTTCAAAGATATGGGCACCATCTTAATTAAAAATTGCATATGCGTGTGAACACCACCACAAGATAAGCAACCTAGGTCAAGGTGGAGACAAGAGCTATGTCCCACTTCCATACTACAACTAATTCTAACTGGGTTTTGAGTATGTAGTGTGTTTATACTGGAAGATTAAGTACACTCAAAGTACAAAGATGTACTATCCGCCACTGTTAAGATAAGAATTTAGGATCAGTATACAGTGTGGAACTGTGACACAGCTAAGGTCCACCATTTTTCTGTCATGTGTACGCAAAACTGACGGGCATCAGATTTTTTTTTTAATATAGCTTTTTTTTCCTGCTTTTATTCTCCAAACTACCAGTATGTCACAGATTATTTACAAAGTACAAAAGCCCAGGATTTTAACTCCTCAGAATAATTACCTAAAATCTACATCATAACCTCAGGCGCCTCTGAGTCCCAACAGCACAGACTCTGGCCAATACACAGTGTCACTGCTAAAGCACTAGGTGAACATTAGTGTTCAAACCTTACGCTGGCAACAAGCTGAAAAGAAAAATAAAAAATATAAAAACTGCCCGAAAGACTTCTACTTTGCCTCCAGCAAAGAACAAAGTTGTAACCCTACAAACACAAATGTAGATGCAGCTTCGATTTCTGTGTCTCCTGCCTCGTGAGAAAAAATACAGAGAAAGCACAGAGGCCTGTGTGTGTTACTAGCCAATATAACTAGCCTGGACGTGGCTCTGGGTTTGAGAAGGCACTGGTAAGATATGGAGGCAGCTTCTCTGCTTTCTCTGACTCTGATTCTGTGGGTTCTCGTTGTTGACAGAAAGCTGCCAACACTTTGGCTATACTATAAGTGCTAAATGCTGTTCGGCTAGATTGGCAACCACACCGGTCTGTGTGTCCAGAAAAAAAAAAGGTACTACTCGTCTGCCGACTATCGCCTCCCACGTCATCGACTGCAGAGAGTGAGAGGAGGCCGTATGCGGAGGATCTGCTGTGAAACTGGCAGCCTTTGGGCTCTGAATAAAGGTCATGGTGAATTAATGATCTTAAGAGACACAATGAGCGAATTACCAATGAGGACTACTTGCTTTTCCGTAGCTTTGTGTAAGGGTACAGTTTACAGGAATGTTTCTGATTCCCGGCAGGAGGGACGAACGTCAGATACTCGATTATTAAGAAGGAAAAACAAGAAAGCCTTTTCATGTGTGTGTTCTGAATCAGATCGGGTGTGGTGATGGTATCAGCTCTGCTAGCAGGCAGGCAAAACAGGGAGGGGGGCGAGGGAACGAGCAGTTCCAACGAAATCCTGGAATGTCAGACCTGAGTGAAATAGCTGCAGCACACTGTGTCCTGACTGCCTAACTGCATGTGATAGCAGAGAGAATAATAGGATTAACAATCACTCTCTCAGACACACTGAAACAGAGAGAGACTGCCCCTCTCTCCAATACCTGCTGTGGACTAATACAGCTGGAACTTTCCGTATTTTTCTTCAGCCCTTCGCCACAAAACGTGGAAATTTCCAACAGCCTGATTTTGAGCAGTGAGTCCAGCAGCCAATGGGAAGCCTCAGGAAAACTGAGGAGGTGCATGTGGTGCAGAGCAAACTTAACAGAAACACAATGAGAGGGGACCGCTAGGTGTGAATTTAATAAAACCTTCCATCTAACAGTAAGGGCCTGAACTGCGCCAGATCGCCGGTCAGATGGGAAGGGAATGCTACTGCTCTCCCATTTAAATATGAGGGCTTTTACTTCTAAAGACAGAAACATGTTTTTATTTTTAAAAGGGCCTCATTGTCCACTTCGCCTGCATGTGGCTGAGACCTTGTGTTAATTCCCCGCCCTGCCCTGATCCAAGCAGCACCGACACAACTGACAAGCCATTACTGTTACACCAACGTAAGAAAGTACAATCACCAGGGCAAAGATGAGCTCTCCATGCGCTCTAAACTCGCTGACAGCTAATGACGACGAGCACAATCACGTGAAAGACATTATAAATTTGTGATTACAGACACATAAAGACCTCAGCTCCAGCGTGATCTGACCAGAGGGAGACAGCAGACACAGAGACAAACACACATCAGGTGCAATTCCACCTAGAAAGACCTCATTCCCCTTTTATAAAGCTTTTTTTTTTTTGGTTATTACGTTTAGTTTTTTTTTCTTCGTCGTCGTCGTTGCAGTAAAGTTGCCTCCAAGTATTGACAGCTGGGAAAGAGGTTAATAAAAAATTAAAACGATGCAGTGAGTTGACAATATTTCGGGGCTTTCTCCTGTCCCATTCAGATGGAGAGAGTACTGGAGGCCTAAGACACAGAGAGCACTGATGGTTGATTAGTGTGATTTCTGGGGCTATAAAAATAAGAAAAGAAAAAAAAAAACAGAAAGAAAAAACCTGGAAAAACAAAATACTAGCAAAGCTGATGAAAAATATTACAAATATGAACTATTTACAAAAACATCAATGTCATATATTATATATAAAATATTGGTACACAAATACCAATATTCCATATATACTATATATTATATATTTATATATTTCTATACCCACTAAAATATATCAAAGCAGCAGCTATTGGTCAGTCTGAGGAACTCTTTTGTCCAATTCTTAACTGTTTAAATATTCTTCAGCCTTAAAGTGAGGACACAGAAGTAAAACTGAGGGGAGAAAAAAAAAGTGGAAAAGAGAAGATAAAATAACAATAAAAGCAAATAAATTAAAACTATTCACCAAACACCCGATGAATCTGTGTGTAGTTTGGAATTCTGCAGAACCAAAAAAACAAATAAACAAACAAAAAGAAAACATTCCTCTAGGAATTGATGTTTGTTCTAGGATCAAGTCCTTGCAAGTCATCCCTCTGTTCCAAACTGATTAAGTCATTGTTCAAAAACAAATTAGTATAAGCGTTGATAGACACTTCTCTTTGTTTATAGGCCACATACAAAAAGGCCACTATTTGAGTAACAAGATTTCACTTGGAGGGAAAAAAAACAAAGCACAGAAATGTGGAAATGCAGATTGGTTGGGGAGAAAAGGAGGGAAAAGTCTTAACGAGGATGAGCATAAGCAGCCTTCTTGGTTGTCTAAGGTTTGTTGTGTTCACAGTTTTTGTTTTTTCTCTGTTTCCATCACAAGGAGTCCCGGAAACGTGGCAATAGTGAAAAACAATAGATAGGTCATATGTTAATAGAAATTCTGATGTGTTGTGGAGGAAGTTATAAAAAAAATGTTACACCATGTTTGCATCCCTTGCTTGCCTGTGCTCGGCAGTCATGAGGAAGAAAATAAAAAGTCCTGAGATCTGTGTCTTTTTTGAAGGGCTTCTCCAAGAATAGGAAAATCATTAGAAAATGAGGAGAGGAACATGAAAGATACAGAAAAAAATGGACTAGAAGAGAAAGAAGGATAGGGAGGGAAGGGAGGTGGGCAGGTTAAACAAGTTCTTTTAGGGAACAGGAAATGTTAGGAAGGGCTGGATCTGGGCAACGATAAGATTCGTCCGTTTTTCTTGCCACCGTTCATGTGTGTGTAGGGGACATGCTCCTCATAGTTCCCCCTGAGGGCCACCGAGGGCCCGCTGTCCCTGCCTAAGCTCTCCTCTCTTTGAGAGTATGACGACGGGTCCAAGGGGATGCTCTCCATGTTGTCCAGGTCCAGGTCAAACTCCTCTGTCTCTGGTACTTTGTTCTCCTCACTGTAGAAGAAGGAGACCTCCTGGAAAGACGGGTGCAGGTCCTCCCGCAGCATCTCGATGATCTCGTGGAACATTGGCCGCATCTTGGGGTTGTACTGCCAACACATCTGCATTAGGCTGTGCCTGGGAAAGGGGATAAAGAGACACAAAGCTTTAATCATTAGAAAATCGTGTACACAACCATGTTGCAATGACCACAAGCAAGTGACTGTGATTTGTGATGACTGTGCTGACTAATCTCTGTTTGGTAGGTGCCAGTCTATGAGTGTGTGCAAGATAGTACAGTAAAACCCTAAAAAAGCAACAGGCTACACCGAAAAATAATAAAAAAAAAACATTTTATACCATAAATGATCGGAAACATTTCGGAAATAGCAAAAAAACGTGTTTTGTGTGTTTGTTATTATAGTTTACAAGCAATTTGAGTTTAATATCTGGCTTCTGTGGCACCCTGTATTTTGGTGCATAACAATAAACATAAGCAGCAGGCCGCTGAAGACCTGAGATACATAGGAATGTTTGACAAAACATCCACACACAATAGCGGTTAAACAAAAAATAAAGATTTAAACAAAAATGACAAAAATGTTTTTAGTAGGATTACTGAAAAGTAAAAGTTTCACAGACACACGAGGCTCATTGAGACAACATGTGTACATTTTGATGCAACATAAAGGTTCAGTTCTGCCTCTGATTAAGGGAGAGTAGAAATCTTCTTTGTAGTAGGAAACTATTCCAGATTTAGTATTTGACACTAATATATTGTGGTAATCTGATGCAGGAGGTAAAAGTGTCTATCAGCTGAAAAAACTACCTAATATCTATCACTATTCTAATATCCTCCTGTGTGTTAGGATGCTGAACAGATGAGTATTACCATATTAAGTATAATCAGAATTATAATAGTGTCCCCAACAAACAAAAAAAGCACTGGGATCCAGACCCCAGAGTAGTTTTTAATATTTACTCACATCCTTTCGGGGCAGTTCTCTGGCCGGTCCAAGTATCCTCCATCCATGACAAACTTCAGAACCTGTTCGTTGGACAAACCCTGGTAAGGCTGTTCTGCGAGAGTGCTGATCTCCCAAAGCACGACGCCAAATGACCTGCAGACACACATACAAATGCATGTGATCAAACGCACTGGTAATGTAATCAGGATTGCAAAAACTGCACAGGAAGGTGTGATTTACCAGCAGTCAGAGTGGGCAGTGAAGACCCCGTCCTTCAGAGACTCCGGAGCCATCCACCTGACAGGAAGCAGGCCCTTCCCTCCTTTACGGTAGTAGTCGGTCTCATAGATGTCTCGGGTCATACCAAAGTCTACGAGAGAGAGAGAACTCAGTACACATTAAGTGTAAGCACACAGTTAAACATTTTCCCATTAGTAAACATGGTCTGTGTCAACTGAAGCACTTCAACCATAACGCAGAACTACCAGAGATGAACTCGGGTTACAATATAAACAACGAGGAAAACAAGCTTCAGTACCTCCAATCTTGACGGTGAAGTCCTCTGCCACCATGCAGTTCCTGGCTGCCAGGTCTCTGTGGACAAACTTCTTGGCGTTGAGGTAGGCCATGCCGTCTGCAATCTCTGCAGCCATCTGGATCATCTCCTTCAGCGTAGGTGGTGAACGGCCGGTTGGGTTGTTCTACAAACACACACACAAAAGGTCAGTCAGTGATGTATGGTAATATGAGAACTAAGCCTGTTTAGCTGTAATGATTACCTCAACTCGGGTAGGTTTTTTTTTTTTAAATGCAAAGATGACACATACCTCAGAGTCTGGCCTGAGACCACGCAGGTAGCTCTTCAGGTCACCGTGGGTCATCAGCTCCATCACAACGAGGGTGGGCTGACCTTTGGACACCACACCTAACAGACGTACCTACATCGAGAAAAAATACCCGTTCATACATGTGAACCAAACAATGTTTACACTTACATTGACTGACTAGAAACATTGGTAAATACTTTGTTGGGAGGTAAAGATAATAAAAATATTTTTTCATTTACATTTTCTATACACCGTATGATGAACATTAAGGTTTATATTAATTTGCCCAAAGAGTTTGGTCATTAAAATAGGAAGGGACTACATATGAAAAGGACTACAATGTTAACACCCTCTAATTATTAAGGTAAACGTAAGGCAGACAAGATAACACGTCTATAAAATGTTGCCACTCTGCCCCCCCACATCTCAACATGATTTTTCACAGCTGACAGCGCAACATATGGCAATTTAATTGCCCCTTAGTACCATTTAACAAAATAGTGATGGTAGGCACAATTGCTTACTAAGTGTGAACATTTGTTTTTGGAGTCAAACTGTGTCAGTATGCCAGCATCAAAACAACGAGTGAGCCATGGTTCTATGAGTCATACATGTTCATGCTGGTTTCAACAAAATGACAGAAAGCTGTAACAGACTGTAATTCACAAGTGCATGGATAGCTGGGCCAGTGTCCCTGTTTGTCAGTGATGGAGCCAGAGGAGCAAAAACGTTTTTTGAAAAGTGTTGTGCGGCGTCGTACCACGTGGTGACAGCTGAAAGCCTTCATGACAGAGGCTTCGTTGAGGAACTCGATCCTCTCGCGCAGGCTGGCCGATTCATTGACAGTCTTGACGGCTACGCGTGTGTCCGGGTCTCCTTTGACGATGTCCTTGGCGATTCCTTCGTACACCATGCCGAAGGAGCCCTGACCCAGCTCTCTGAGCACATTGATTTTCTCCCGGGGTACCTCCCACTCATCAGGAACATACACTACACAAAACAGACACCATTATGAATAAGTGGACTGTTCACAAATCACTACAAGGCGGTATATGTTTCTAAATGCAGCTATAATTATTACTTCCAAAGAAGTGCAGAGAAAGCTCAATGTGCTGTACTTCCTGAAATGAGTAGTTTCGTTATTATGCTATTCTTACCATCATTGGCGCTGAGGTACTCAGGGTTTGAGGAGGCGATGAGAGGTCCTGTGGGGCCTTCTGTTTGCCTGTAACACAACCACAGAAAGCATCTGAGCAGCTGAACTTTCTCCAGTATGTTCATAACATCTTACCGAACATTCCTTCAGATCCCTCTATAGCTTTCCAAACAAAACAAAATAATAATTCCTTTTTTGATGTCATGTAGTGTAATCCGCTTGGTTTATCCAGCAGGGTGGATCAGTCAAAGAGCTTACCTCTTTTTTAAGATCACAAAGACTCCACCTCCCACAAACAGCAACAGGATGAAACAGATGACTGGACCAATCACAATCCAAATCAAACCTGGATCCGCTGTAATAAACACACAAGTCATTGGTCAGAGTATTTTATTTAAATAATAATAATAATAATAATAATAATAATAGTAATATGTAAAACAATAATAACACAGCTGAAATAGGCCTTGGTTATTAAATATATAATCATTTTCTGTATATTTTTATATATATATAAAATTTAAACTGAAACAAATATATTTAACCAAAGCACACAAAGTTTTGAGGTGAAAAGCTTGTTGGAAAGGATATGGACATGGAGTCAATGGCAACACCGTGTAAGCTTATGAACTTCCAGATGCATGTGAATAGTGATGAATGTTGAACGTTATACTTGTTCATTAAGTCAGACATATAGCCTGCAGCCTTACGGTTGGGCATGAAGAAGTAAGTGGTTTCTGTAAAGGAGCCATTTCTTGCCAAGGAGGTTGCGCGGATCCTCACGCTATAGTTTCCAGGCTGCACAAGCGAAAGCTTCGTGCCACCCAACTTGAGATAGGCCGGCCGCGACACACAAGCTGCGTGAACCTGGAAAAACAAAACACTTCAGCATTAGAAATCACGGGGAATAATGACAAGTGATAATCGTCTAATATTCTACTTTGCTTTATCTAAATCACAAATTACTTTGAACCAAAGGGAGTTTGGCACAGCAAAACCGTGACCCTTACAGTATGAAGAGTGCACAGAGATATGTTCTGAACTGAACAGAAGTTTTGGAGATGATTCTTTTAATAAACACCTATAACTGCATTGAAAGGGCACTATGAAAAGGTTTTACCTTGACTCAACTTTGGTTAATAATTGGGTAAGTGCATCACCAATTGTCCATTGTCAAACTGGGTTTACTCTTGATTAAAAATTGTATAACCAAAATGGAAGTGTGAAAAAACAGTGAAACATTGTGAAAGACAATGTTAACACCTGTAAATATGTGGGAACATGCATAAAATGAGTCTGTTGCTTTGGTACATGCTGGGAGGTGTTCCTACATTTCTACCTCAGGATGCTACAATATATCATATTAATGATTATTCCTAGGTTGACTCCAGTAAGAGTTCTGATATTAGTCCTCAACAAACAACTAAACGTGATCTAAATATATTTAGAATAAATAAAAAATTTGGGATTACTGTTGGGATTACAAAATATACATTGAAATAACAATGACATTGTTTGTACACTTCTAAAATGGTTTACATAACTAAGTTTAAATATTTTAGGCGGTGGATATAAAAGAAGAAAACCTGCAAAACTGTGTTGGAACATTCACAACTTTTAACATGCGTGCCAATTAATAGTCACTCAGAGGCTCTGCATAAATAAACAAGTGTTTAGTCTTGCCGTATGCCACCACTGTGCGATAAGTCAAATAATCAACTTGACCCTCCGACACGCTATAAACAGCATTTTAAATAAATCCAGATCAGTTTTGTTTCAGCTGTAGGGTGTGTTAGTGAGATGCCGGTCCATCCCTGCCACTGCAGTCTAGTCTTCCTTCCTGCCTCTGTCACTATGGTAACAGAGCTGCTACTGGCTGCTTGGTCCAGGCAGTGCAGCAATGAATAGCAATGAGAGATGAATTCACACATTTACAGCAAGTAAACAACAACAACAACAACCCACACACACACACACACACGCACGAGCTGTCACAGACAGACAAGCACTTATGCGCACAAACACACAGAAATAATCATATGCAAACACACGCAGCAGAAAACGTCAACACACGCAGTGGTAGCATTGGGAGTTTGTAAACAAATACTTTTTTTGTTCTTCTCTAACAGAATCTGAGTCTTTACATCAAGCCTCTCCTCTCCTGCCTACTTCCGCTCCCCAGAGCCTACCCAGATCACCCCTCCTCTCCGCATTTCTTCTTACCTTCAGCCATGTTTTTTTGTGCACCTGTCTGCCCTTTAAGCCCTGTGTTTCTCCTTCCTACACAGTATCAACATCATTTCTGCTGGCTATCACCTCTCTACCTCACTTCTGTGTCCTTCAGTTTAGGGGGGGGGGGGGGGGGGGCATGATCCCTCTCTTTCTCTGAGTTTTTCCGGTATCCTCACTCTCTGAAAAGGTCGGTGATGGTTGATACTGACCTCTGTGTCTCCAACCTTCTTGTAGAACACCTCATACAGGATGATGAGGCCATTAGGGGAGCGAGGAGCATTCCATTTAATCAACACATACGGAGGCTCAGCTGTCACTATCTCATGGGTCACGCGGCCCGGGATGTGGTCTGCTTTCTCTGTAGGGACAACACAAAGATAAACACTTACAGCACATGCAGTATAAAGCACTGCATTCCCACATTGTTCTTAGTTGGCCAGTTTGCTCTCCGAATGCGTCTAGAAACTGTCTGGGGAATTTGTTACATTTTTTGGTGTACTGAGGAATGAACATTTTCATATACACTACAAAAAAACTCAACATTGTAACCTTTATGAAGATAGGAATCATTGCAGGACTGTTGTATTTGACTGTTTTATCAGTTTAAGCTACTGTAGGTGTGCCTAATAAACTGGCAACTGGGTTCTTACCTTCTGGCAAAGTTCGAGCACTGACATAAGTAGCCATGCTGCAGCGTTTGAGGTCTGTCAGATGGTTGCAGGCCATGATCTCGATCTTATAACTGGTAAAGTGCTGCAGGTTGGAGATGATTGTTGATTCCTTTGCGAACACCTTCAGCTCCACCTGAGCAGAAAAAAGGAGAGATCTAATTATTCCAAAAGTGACAGACAATACAGCGACATACAAAGCTACACTGAACAAAATTATAAACGCAACACTTTTGTTTTTGCCCCCATTCATCATGAGCTGAACTCAAAGATCTAAGATTTTCTCTATGTACACAAAAGGCCTAATTCTTTCAAATATTGTTCACAAATCTGTCAAAATCTGTGTCAGTGAGCACTTCTCCTTTGCCGGGATAATCCATCCACCTCACAGGTGTGGCATATCAAGACGCTGATCAGCCTTAGGCTGGCCACAATAAAAGGCCACTCACGACCCATGTGTGCAACGTTCATTTTGACTCAGACGATCGATCGGTGCATCCCTAATTAAGTCTCACGAATAAGTCCAGAGTTAAAAGAAACTTAAAGATTTGGACATACATTTTTTGTTTTTGTTTTTTTTACAGAGGATAGTTTTCACTGCTGACTTTGAGCAACTTGTAAATTGAATCAGTATTCATTTTCTTATTTTACATGTGCTTCTTATAACTGGAAATTTAGGATGACGAACAGCGAACGATCAGCACATACGTCAACATGAGAATGACATACAAAAGATGATCTGTATGGCATACACAAAGTGTTTCAGACCTTGGATTCCTCCTCGTTTTCAGGGGTGGCTGTGGTGGAGCCGAACGGCAGACCGGGGGCTGTGGTGAGGAAGAAAGGAGTTTGGGTAGCGTTGGCAACTCCCACTGATCGTCGCCGACGAGATGGTCTAAAAAACAAGAGCAACAAGAAGAACAGTTAGCAGAAGTTAAAGGTAAAATGCCACTGAAAAGCTGGAGGAAACAAAGTTATAGTTTAGAAACTCTGCCTGGAGTCCTCTTACATGAATGACTCTCAGGCAAGCCAGTAATAAATTATTAACACACAAGTCAGAAGCATTTCACGCGAATTAGACCTTGGCAGAAGGAGCAGTAGTGTGGTGGAGGCCAGTGAGCACCTCTGCTCACACTAACCTTCACGGTGTGTAGCAAGTGTGACTGCATGACATTTAGCCATAAATACCAACTCCTGCCCCTCTGAAAGAGTTACCAACCCTCACCACTGGGTGGTGCTGACGAGCAAGTTCACTTTACTTTCAGTGGTTGTGTGTGTAAGCCCATCACAAAGGCCATGAACTTAACCAGTTAAGACACTTTAGACCGGCAGCGACCTTCTCTATGTACAATCACTGGCTTTAAATTAGAAAACCATCTTCCTTTCATCCAGAATTGCCACCATTAAGTGTCCTTGAGCAGTACACTTTACCCCAAAGCTGCTGCAGTGAAGCCTCTCCTTCACTGTACAAGGAAGTGAAGGACTCAGGATATGTTGAACCAGTACTTGCTCAGGTAGGAAAAAATTACTAAGCTTCCTGCGTCCTAGAACGGCCGCAAACTTCTGTGTACAGATGGGTAGAATCACTGTCTGGGAATTAGAAAACCATCTTCCTTCCCTCCAAATTTGTCCTTGAGTAGTCTGCAAAGCTGCTGCATGAAGTCTCTCCTTTACTGTACAAGGAAGTGTAGGACTCAGTTAATGTTGAACAAATACTTGCTCGGGTAGGAGAAAAAAATACAATGCTTCCTGCATCCCTTTGCGTGATGGAAAAAGAGAGCATGGGTTCAAAATGCAGCTGAGGTGTGTGTGAGTTTTTGTGTTGTTCAAATGGCAGTCTGCATGACTGCATCCCTGACTGGCATGAATGATAATGGGCACAGTAATCATTCCCCAAGGGAAGCGGAGGGAGAGACTGTGGGTGTTTGTGTGTGTGTATCAGGGGAGAGGGTAGGGGCACCGGGGCCCAGACAATCAGCACCCCCCCACTCTAAGCCCCCCACAGTAGTGCCCTGTACAAAAACAAGGGTCTACATAAAAGACACCCAAACACACGCACAGATAGACAAGACAGAGCTGGCATGGAGCCGTTTTGAGCCGCACATCATGGTGGTGGGGACAAAAGAGGAGTGATGTAGTCTGGCTTGATAGTGGGGCTCAAGTGTTGCTGCGGCACTGCCACAAACAGCAACTAACATAGAAAGAAGCTCCGCTTGGTATAACACTTGGTGTAACGCTAAATGTACTGAATTTCGTGTACAAGCTTTTTAAACAAGCGCAAATTCATTAAAAGCTAAATAATTTGATAACACCGCCAATTAACTCATATATCCTTGTAAGTAAGCAACAGCAATGACTAGTGATCGCACATGTCACAGCTACAATTCTAAAATTTATAACTGTTTGATCTAATACATTACACATCTCCACTGAGTTTAGAAATGGTGTTGGTCATGAGCTGTAACATTAAATTACAAGCCAGGATGTGTACCTGCTCTCGAAGACTTCATTGTGGAGGTAGTTCTCGAAGGTCTTGCGGTACTCTATCTCCTCCTGCTCCTTCTTTAGCTGGTTGTCTGTCTTGGGGCAGGCGCAGCACCTGCCCCCCGAGGTGGGCTCATCTGTGTGGTTCCACTTCTGCTCATCCTCGCTGTCCAGGTGGGTCGGGGTGCGAGATGGCAGCTTCATTCCTGGGCGGGAGAAACAGGTGTGAGGGAAAGCCAGACAAATAAATATGAAGTGAGCGATAGCCGATGTGTTCGTAAACAAGTCGCCTGGGCCGACTCTAATCGGACAACCTGTGGATACCTACTAACCTTGTAGGCAGTAGTCGAACTTGTAGAGGTCGCTGTCCTCATGCTGCTTACGACAGATAACCCGGTAGTGGGTGATGTTGCCATTGGGACTGGTGGGAGGCTTCCACTTCAGGAGGATCTTGGAGGAGGAGACAGCATGGGAGATGGGGTCCAGAGGCACAGAAGGCTCTGAGGAGGGTGGAGGAAGTAAGTGAGAAATTAGTTAGGATTGGTATTGTATAACCATAGGTCGCTTTCAGACTGACTTGCCCTATGGGAAAAAATGCAGTCCCTCATTCATGTGAATGGAGCCAGTCCGGCGACGCAGAGGGGTGTCTATTACACATCTCACAGGTACCTTAAGCAACACGCCCCCAATATTGCAGCTCCTTACAATGTCTTAAGGCATCGATATTTTCAGTCTGATTGCTGCTATGTAATAAACATTATCAGAATTGTGTAAGTTCCTGAAATGCTGTTCTCTGAACTTTAAGCAAAGTCCTAACATCAGTTTATAACGTGCAGCACAACATTCATTCAAAGTGAACTATCCGATTATCATTGCCTGAAGGTAACTTGTGCTGTTTTTGACTGCCTGTTTATTTTGCACATTTACATGCATGTGTGTAGCGGTGATGTGATCCATATTAAAATGAAAACTGTTTCAGTCATTCCCACTGATTGACAGCTGGTGGCGATAACAACCGAAAAAACATGGTGATGCCTGGGAAAATGTCGGGAGGAGCAAACAAATATAGATTTAAACAATGCAGTGTTGAAAATATGCAAAACATTTTACAAATTACTTATGGAGGAGGAAATGCATTCAGCATGTTTGTTATGCCCCAAGGATGTACAAAATGTTTGGGTAAGAACGACTAAAGGGTACCTTTAAGAGTCAAAAGTAAAAAAAAAAAAAATGTGATTCCAAAATCCAAAACAAAGTACAAAGTCTTTAAAAACACATTTTCCTAACATGTTTTTTTAAGTAGTGTAACTCACTGGAGGCATTGGTGCGGACGTAGATGATCTCACTCTTGGCTCCGTGAACTTGGTGCTCATCAGATGCAGACAGTTGGGTTTTGACCATAATAGCGTACTGGGTCCAGGGCTTTAATGGTCGGATCAGGTGCCCCGGATCATCAGCCCTCTTGCTATCGGTGGAACGGGGCGGAGGGTCAACATCAGCAATCGCCCAGCTGTTAGAGCCACACGCGTCCTGTCCATCAAACTCCGTCACGTTCTTAAATGGTCTGGAGCAGATGGCAAAAAGAAGATCAGAAAAAAATGGATCAATAGGTAACAATGAACTACGAGAACAATCAATGGCGCTCATTCAGCAAGGTAAAGCAATGCTGGGTGATTTTTATTTCTACAGTATATTATATTAATATAATATATATTATATAATAAATAAAATGCAAGAACATACAATGGATTTTGAGGCTCATTCTGTATTGTACTGGGAGTCAATGAAGTGATTTACTGGAGTAATGTGTTGGTTTTTATGTATGTGTGAGGACTGCTGCATTCTGAAAGAGCTGGAGCCTTCCTATTGTTTGTTTGGGTAATGCAGCAAAGGGAGGATTACAGTAATCTAACCTGGTTGACATGAATGCACAAACCAGCTTCCCAGAGTCAACTTGATATATAAATCCTCCTTTTGATATGTTTAAGTGAATCAAAACCATACTAGTTAGGTTACTGACATGACTTTCAAAGTTGAGTCCAAAATAACTCTGAGGTTAGTCTGAATTTGGTCACTGTAATCAAGCGACAGTGATTTTAGGTGTGAAAACCTTTCCTGTACCTCAGTATCTCAGTCTTACAAGTTTGCTTTTAGGACAAAGATCATCAGAGGACAGCTGTGTGTCATCCGCATGTGAATGACAGGATATGTTCAAATCAAAAAGGTCCAAGAATTGACCCTTGTGGAAACCCAGAGAAAATCTTAGTTTCAGCAGATTTAAAGCCACTGAGAAAAATGGGATGTCCTATCATTGATGTAGGAGGATAACCAGTTAAGCACAGAACCTGTTAGACCAACAGAATCGTGTTATCTCTTTATGAAATTATAATTACTGACAGTATGAAAGGCAGCAGTGAGATCAAACAAGCCCAATAATAAACAGTACTTGGTGCTTTTTGTGACTAACTGCTATAATTTTATTTTGTAATCAACTTTGGTATGTTTTGTGCCACAGTGTGGAAAAACCCAGATACTTACGCCTCTTTGTAGAGAACCATAAAGCCCAGTAGGTCCCTAAAGTCTAAGGGCCAAAAGGGCTCCCACTTCAACATAATCATATTTGATGTGGTCTTGATCACGGTGAATTTCAGCAGCTTGGTCTCACCTAAAGGATGAAACGGACGATGCTCAGCACAGGGGTTTGGTAAAAGAGCTTTTGAGGTAAAGCCAATCACATTATAAAACCAAAGAAAAAAGCAGCATTTCTGCACAATATATCTTGTTCTGTTAAATCTGTCAAATATATCATATATCTGATGAGCATCTGCCGATATCAAATCCTATCTAATATTTATATTTTTCTGACAAAATTTAGCTGCAAAATGTGTGTTTAGCCTAAACAAGGACAATAAAATGAGTGAAACCAAACCGTTTCAGATATGTTTGCTAGGGGAAACGTTCTGCATTAGTAATATATAGCTAGATCAAAATCTTTCTTTTCTGTTTTTAGGTTTTGTATGTATTGCTGTAGTGTTCTGTACATTTTCCTGAAAGAAGGCTCATTAACATAGGCTGTCTATACAGATACAGTATTATTCATTCTGCTGGTATGTGATCAAGCTGCTCAACAGTTAATTTACTGACAATAGTGTGACTTAGGAGTATGTTCCAGTGTTACCATACAGAATCGTATACTACAATACCTATAGCAAATAGATACGGATGGGTGAAAGATTAAAGAGTAATCCTGAATAAATAAACGGAGAAGGAAAACGAATGCAGATGCTTCCACACAGGTGCACTGCATGGCACAATTAAGATCCAATCTTGCTCTGTGGCAGGTATAAAAATTCCTGAGCTGAGTCTTAAGAGCTAAAGGTAACAGGAACAAAAATTATGTTTGTATTGCAAGCAAGCAAAAAAGTCTAGAGAGCAGATTTAGAATGATCCTGAACATTTTAAAATAAAGGTTGTCAATAAGGTCGTGAACATCAAAGGATAATCATAAGTCTGACATGCTTACAGGAGGCTTGGTCCCCGTTGGTGCGTAAAGCGATGTCATTCTTTTGGTTGCGCTCCTTGGTACCCGTTACCTCCTCCATCTTTTTGATTTCAGACATGCAAAGTTTGGAGTTGTAGTGGAAGAACATACGACCACGCTCGATGGTCAGGTTGTGCTTGGACCAATCCCACAGCTCACGCAGATTCTGGTTGTCCAGTGCATAGAAGGCGTGGATACTATGACAGACAGAGGGGTAGACAGATAAACATTGTTGCAGTGTTTATATAGTTTTTACTTATTTGTATTTTTTTTCTGTCTACATTTGTGTTCATTTCACATTTGCTTTGACAATGTAGAGGAGAGGAGAGCAGAGGACTTACTCTCCCTCAAGATGCTCCCCCCTAATGATGTGTAGTTTACGGAGGAAGGAGAGGGACACCAGGGCGTAGGCTCTGCGAACAGTCAGGTAGCCTGTGATCTCCTCAATCTGGCCCAAACTAGCCTCCAACTCAGCTGCAATGTTATCTGCAAGGTGATAGACATTTGGTCATATAGATGTACGTATGTATAGCCTACGTCACACAAACACACACATTTGAATGAGAAACACAGACTGAGAAATCTGAGCGATGGAGGGAGAAGGAGACACAGTGTGAGAACCAGAGCCTCTGCAGGGGGCACAGCAGGTGGTGATGTGTAGTAGTACTCACTCCCTCCTCGAATCTTGATTATCATGTTGCCGTGGAGAACAGTGCAGCCTCTCAAAGCCTGGGCTGAAGTTACTGAGTCAATCGTTTTATTTCCGACACACAGTTTAGGACACAAGCCTGCACACGGCGAACAGGTCAACCTACACACAGAGAGACACACAGATTAGGACCATCAACAACTTGTGTGTCATTGTGTTTAGTGCAGCAACTGCAGGCTGAAAGGGTGGACGGTAGGTTACAACGTGTGTCATCTAACGTTCGGCCGTTTCATATTTTCTATTTATTTAACGGCCACGTATGAGCGAGAAAACAGCTGAATCTAACATTACAGACATCAGATCTGTGACTGTCTGCACAGTCTGTGAATCCTTTTAGTTATTTTCTTTGCCGCACATGAATGCAGGAATACATTTGATTATCATATTGCATTACTCAATATTGAAATAAATCCATTGCAACTAAAGCAAATGTAATAGTTATTAAAAGCACATCCTTTTTTGACTTTACTAAATATCAAATAAAGATGTAGTAGCAAGATGAATAAAATATGTATTATAGCAACTAATGCTACAGTGACAAAACTACTTAAATATCAACAAAAGTGAGTGTTTCATATAATATGAGAGAAAAACAGACTGATGTATTCAGAGGTGAATCTGTATAATTATCTCAATTAATTTGATAACTCCCGTAATGAATAAACAGGATTTTAGGAGTGGAATTATATTTGGCCATCTCTCATCCACATCTGAGCCTCCTTCACTTCTTTAGCACTGGGGGATTGAGGAGATAACTTTCTCCTCCTTTGCTTCAATTACTTCTGTCGCATATACAACACGCACGCACGCACAAATGCGCACGCAGAGCATAATCGCAGACAACAAAAACAACATGACTGAAACACCAGCTGCAGTTCCCAATAGGCATTCCTCTGTTTTGCTCTCTCTCGGCTCTATGAGTGGCGTCCTCTCCCTGGAAACATGCGCTTATGCACGTAATCACATACACACGTACGCTGAGCAACGAGGCCTTGATAGTGCTGCCTTTCAGGAAATTCATTCACAAAAGGCAGGCCTTGTCTAGCGAGCAGCCGGTACGCGCCACACAGAGAAAAGAGACCCGACGCTTCATTCACAAATGAGCACGTTATTATTTTTTTTTTTGGGAAGCTCTCTCAAAAGAACATAATCCCTCTCTTTAATTCAGCTTCAAGGCTTGACATCCCCTAACCACAAAGATCTGGCTTAGAAGTAAACCAAGCGATTTTTGGTTGTTCCGTTAAAAAAAAAAAATCACTTAAAAAAGAATCTTAACATATCACCACTGAATGAACGCTTCCTCTACCCAAAAATGTATGTTTAGAGGGGTCTCTGATGTGAGGTGGCTGTGCAACAGAAACAAAGACATTTCGTCAAAATGTTCTGTTTTCTTGAAAAACACATGCACAAATCAGGAGAGGGCAGGCGATGACACCGTTTCACTAGAATGGATTTTGAAGCAGAACTATCAGGGTTCACTAAAAATAGACAATAACATCAAAAAGCAGCCTTAATAAGCACCTTTTTAAAGCAGCCCCTGTGCGAGGGGAGCAGCTAACAAAGGATGCTGTTGTTCACCGCGTGGACCACGCAAGCTCTGCATGAACTGCCATTTGTAAGCTCACCCTGTTTTAATTCTCTGTTTATGCAACTCTTATTATAATCCCCTTCTCCAGAAAGCACACACGTCTTACCCGAATCGTGCGTCTAACTACCCCCGCAAGTTAGGCCGATGGCTCCACATAGATGCCATTTACTATAGTGACATGAAACGCTGAGTCCCAGGAGTGCTGTTCTGGTCCTTGTCTGGCTTATTCTATCCACCCTGAGAGCGCCAAATGACCCATTACACACCTGGCTTCTCCTAGTTTCCATCTTATCATCTACATCAATCAGAGGTTAAATCATTGTTTCCCCCTCTATGACTTCTGAGTGAGTGGAAAAACATTGTAATGATCTCTCCAAAACAACAGTGAGGAGAAAAACTAAATCTATGTTTTGTTTCTCTCGCCTGTTCTCCCACATGGAAAATCGTATATTAAGCTTCGCAAAAGTAATGCTCTAGTTGCAGAGTAGAAAGAATGTTTTGGGCCGTTTTACTGAAAAACACCGACACACAGGCAGACAGGCTGGGTCCAACGGCAGCTCTTAAAGGGGCAGTGTTTATCTGTCCGGCTGAACTCTGTGACTCGGACTCCAGGGTCTGCTAAAACCATCTAGAACAGACGCTGCAGCTGACGCTCGGGTTTGGTTTTGGGCCCAGGCCTGGTGGAACTAGACCAAGTGCACTCACACACGCTGCTCTAGTACTGTGCTGTCAAAGCATCCGGGAAAGATGAGCAAACTAAGCACCAACATAGAAAAAATTAATCCTAATGAAGGATACATTTTTTTACAAGTATTTGTCAGAATTATTAGACAGTTTGGTCTTATTGTGACATCTGGTTCCTCAAAATATTGTAGTCGATCTTGTATTTCTTGTACTTATATTACAGATACTTACATTTGCATAATATTAATAAAGGGAGGTAAGACTTTACAAATCAGTTTAATGGCGTCACAGAAAAATGATGCAAACCTTTTGGGTTTACATTACCCCTACTCCAGAACATCTCTACTCTTTGTCAATCCTTATTGGTGGGTGGGTGGGGGTGTGTGTGTGTGTGTGTGTGCGTGTGTATATACAAAGTCGCCTGCCTAACTGTCTGAACGCGCGTGTGTGTGTGTGTGTGTCTGTCTGTCTGGGTCTAGGTTTGATGACGCTTGCTCTTGCTATAACCAAACCACAGAAGCAAAACAGACACACTGAGTCCCTGATGTTGAAACTGCAACAGAATCCCAACGAAGAAAAATCTTATGCACACTTACATACTACACATAAGCACAAATATAAACATGCACACAAAGGACGCCATTCTGCCCCATGCCTCAGGGTGTATGACCAAGACTTAAAGCAATGTTCTTTTCTGTTTAATCAGATGATAATCCCTGCAGGCTGGAAGTATGCAAGGGAAAGTCAATCTCTTAACACACAGACACACAATACATTTGGAGAAAGTCATGTTGTGTTGAAATTAACTATTTCCACTGGGTGTGCTAAAAGCTCTGTGCATGTGTGCGTTATTTACCAAATAAACATGTCTATATATACATAAACACCTCTCTCTATCTGGACACAGTGGACATTTCCCCTCGAGCCTGCACCTGGAAAAAGTAATCTGGGAACGAGCTAATGTAGTCACAAACACGTTCTGCACACACGAGCACTCAAATGCAAGTATGCGATCGCGCGCACACACGTATAAGAAAAAACACGCACATGCACGTACACACCCATCACTCATCCGCCCACCTGTGGCTTCAAGCGACGCAGGCATCTCCAGCACACAACCTGCTCTTATTAGAACGAACTCGGAGAAATACACCTCTCTGTGCTTCTTTTTCCACTAACTGTCATTAATGTCTTTATTTGTCTTTACACCAACTAAATGTGGTCTCTTACTGAGTAAAAGACTTCTGCTATAGCTTAAAGACAGAAGATTACAACTGCTTGGTGTGTGACTAGGCAATATAGCAATGTTTTTAAATTAACTAGCAGCTCCATCTAGAGCTGTTTTGTCAGATTTGCCTAATCACAGATGGACAGCAGGGGTTTTTACATCCATCACAATTCTAGTGGAACATATTTTATCCTCATTGCCCAAACCTGTGTGCATGTTTTGAAAGCATGCAAACTGAAGAGGTTTCAAAACACATACTTGCCTCAAAACAAATATGTATCCTCATCATTTAGCAACAGCTACTGCTACTAAATGAGGAGGCCACTGATGAGCCTTTGTCCCCGTTTACTACAAGTAAGAATGCTAAATAAGGTCATGCCCTTGCTTGTTGCACGTGCAGACAAAAGCTGTGTGTGCCAGACAGTGATTTTCTTTTTTTTGGAGGTTGCTGTCTCATTCGAGGCACCCGCACTGGCTGACACTTTTATCAGGGGCAATTTACAATAAGATAAGAGGTTCAGTGTTTTACAGGGACCTTTGATCTTTCACCTGTGTGACTCTTTTAACCAGCTTCAACACTGAGCTGTACTGCTACTAGAGACGGCCTATATGGCCAAGGATTCTTTGTGCAGCCATAAATATCAACATCCCCGTCAGTGTACATGTTTGTTAACCTAACTGGGTTTAAAGGGATCCACCAAATCCCTCACTATCAATAAACAGTTCTTTTTACTAATTTCCTATTATATCACATGACATAATAACTCAACCGAACTAAGTTAACAGGTCCCAGACAGGCAGTAAAGTTGAGCCTATGGAATAATCCTTTCAATAGGAAAATAATTGGCTATTCGGCGACTCAGACACATTATTTCACTCCAGTGCACCTTTGCACACTGTTTCCAAAATAATCAACACTTTGGCATGATCAGAAACAATGTTCGATGCACCATCAAATACATCTTAAGTAAATGATGTTTATGCATTTAATCTGCACATGAAAATGTCAAAACTGCTGTGGATAACTGTTCTTTTCAGTCAGTTTCTTGTCAGTTTGGTAATGCTCTGACTTGATGCAGCTGTGTAATCACTGAGAACAGAATATGATGCAGGCTGTGAAAACACCAGGGACTGGGAGATTAGAGGACACATGTACTTACTTATGCAATAATATAAACTTATAAACTTGCAAAATTCTAATGCCTATATGGCAACTTTGTATTTGGTGCTACTGAGTTAACGTTAATTATCTTTGACAAAGAGGCAAACAGGGAACCAAGTGATGTTTTGCCTTTTTCTTTGCTCCTCAACAACCTCTTAACAAAAGTTAACTTCATCAGCCTAGCTGCTTCTCAGAGGAGAGGAGTGTGCAAATGTTACTGAATGCACTGAGTGACCACAATGCACTTGTTATGCTGCACAGAAGGAAGATTTGTTGTGGGTGACAATCCCGATCATGTAATGATGTAAAGGCCATAATTAATACAGTAGTGTTTATGGTGGCATTAAGAGTGTGTGTGTGTGTGTCTCAGACGTACGTAGTGGAGTTGATAGTGGTGTATCCAGAAGGGCACTCTGGAATACAGGCCCCGTTGTGGATGACGTATTCATAGCAGCCCATCTCTCGGTCCTGGTTCAACTTCTTAGTCTGCTTACACTGGTGGTGGAGCTCCTGGATTTAAAAACAAGGCAAGTTTGTGCACCAGTTTACAGTGTTCACATTTATGCTAAATAGGGGTTTGACGAGACACTTAGCTCATGAGACAAGACGAAACACAATACTGGGTGAACGAGATCGAACGAGACAAGATTTTAAACTTTAACACTATTTTTTAAGAAATCTTCAATGCCGAATTTCGAGCATTAAACACAAATGTTAACTTCAGCGATAAACTTCTGATAATAAATGCAGCTCACAGTCCCAAACAGAGCAAGTTAGCGCTTCAGTTTTTAGATGTTTATATTGGAAAACTCTACTAGGTACGTTACCACTCGGTTACAAACTGGCTGCAACTCAAAGTGTGACAGAGTTCATTTGATTACTATGACGTCATACGCCGGTGTCACATCAGCTCGGTGGAGATGATATGTGAAGTGAGTCGACATTATAAGTTCTACATTTGTTTTTCACTGCGTGAGAAAATTGATGTGTGGCGTGACAGCATGTGAAAAGCTTCAATTTGTGTGATTAATCTTGTCACAACCCTTGTGCTATTTATTTTACGAGTTAACTATAAGAATTCCAGTTATTACTAACCTGGCAGAAGGAGAAGCTGACGCAGCGCCAGCCCCTGAAGACATAGTATCCAGGAGGACACTTCTCCACGCAGGTATTCCCATGCTGGAGGTTCCTGCAGGCCACACAGCTACTTGCATTTCCTGGCTCAGAACAGCCCCCCAGGCACTGGTCATTACAGCACTGGCCCTGGAGGCTACATGCACCATGCTTACATTTATCCAAGCACACTGAGGAAAAGCAGAAGGAAAAGAAGGAAAGAGGTGGTTAACATCAGGTTTCATACACATGGAGTCATGTTTTATTTTGGCCCCCACTAGTATCACCATAAAGATTGTGTTTATAACCACTCCTGGTTTAAAATGGCATTTGGAAACGAGCGGGAGAGCAGTGGGACTCATCCAAAGTTCACAAAAATACACAGATACCCTTGAGAAGCAACAATAACAAAATACCAAATATAAACAGCACAGAGCTGAATGTAGGCAGGGGTTTTTCTCTGTCTCAGTCACTCCATCTCGCATTTAAAGGCTCACAAAACATTAAAACCAGAAGGAGCAGTGAGTGCAGTGGTCAAAATGGCCACCAAGTGCTGTATGCTCTGATCTGAGAGCAGCGAGGGAACCACATGCATGTTAGGTGTGTAAGTACACACACACGAACATGGCTGCATGAGCTATAAACAGGTGTTCTCAGCAAGGCTGCTGTGGTTGCTCAAAGAGAAAATGGGAATGATGTACTGCCATCAGAAGGAATAGAAACCTGCTGAAAGCTGGAAAACTTTCAACCCTCACAAAAAGATCAAACAAATGTAAATGATAATTTGCAGGCAAACTTGCAACTGGACAACCACCAATTGCCAACCTAGCATCCACGAGGGAGCGGGTGTCCACAGTTTACGCCCGTTGGCCAACAGCGGCAGCCTGGGGCACCATGAAAACAACCTTAATTGCTAATAGGCTGAACATCATACGTCACTGGCTCATGTCAGGTTTCATTCGACCTATTGGGGAAACAGCATTCAGTGAAAGAGCCTGAGTGTCAGTTGTGATTGAATTAGCAATCGGGTGTGAACTGTGCCCTGTAACGATCTAATAAACTAGCTACCTTGTCTGAGGGCCAGTAGAGACTCATTAGATCTCACCTTAAACCAGGCAGTGACCTTTTTTTCCAACTGCACATCCTGACTGTGTGCAAATAGGATAGGAAATCACCATAAGTCATGGGTTGGTAAGAGTTTACTGAGGCTGTTGCATCCAATTTGGCAGGTAAAAGAAGGTCAGCAGAAGGTCAGTTAGACAACTAGGGGCTGTACATAACGATTATTTTTCAAGTCGATTCATCTAACGATTATTTTTTCGATTAGTCGATTAACCTAATGACTAATTTTGTGTATTCTAAAGAAAAAAGTTGCCTATTACCCCATTAACATACCAATTTATCAAAAATAAATATCAAAAACATGTCTAATCAATAATATTTCATTCATCCTGATGAAGCACATTAGAATGATGACAATAGCAGCATATCATAAAATGAATCAAATTTCCTCTTCACTGATGTGTTGTGATAATAACAATAACAGACATTAATTGGGCTACTTTACTTAAAACTTTAAATGTTTCTGACATGGATTTATTTCAATACTGAGTAATGCAGTATCATAATCAAATGTGCGGCAAAGAAAATAAGTGAAACGACTCAGACTGTGCAGACAGTCACGGATTGTCATAGGTAATGTTAAGTTATGTTATGTTATATGACACGGTGTAAGGTTACGTGACCATGACAGTAGCGGGGCAGAAACTACTTTGAACATGAAGACGATGAAGAAATACTTTTTAACGGAATAACGTTACGTGTCCTCGTGCGAAAGTAAACCATAAGTAAACACGATTTGCGGTGCTGCAGTCAGTGCTCCGGGATACTTTCGCTTGACGTATTCGTGGACAGCAGGTGTGCTGCAGTGAAGCTAACGTTATTAATAAATCTGTGCAACCTTGCTGTTGGGAATGCCGTCGAGAAAGTGGCTGATCGTCTGTCACATCAAAAAAAAAACAACAACAACAAAAAAAATGATGTTATAATATAATCAAAAAACAGAATATGTCATAATACTGTGAGAGCTATGTCTGAGAGTTATAAGTTTATGGGATTGGAAAAGGTAACACATAAGGTAGCATCATTGCAGACGATCAGCCACTGTCTCGACTGCATGCCCACAGCAAGGTTGCACAGATTTATGGGCGTAGAAACAGACCACGCTTGTGGGTCACACGCATGCGCAGAACCGCTAAGTAGCACATATCGATAGTTAGCATAAATCGACAGAACACCAGCTTGACTCTTACTTTAGTTTAATTAAGTGCAGCAGTCTCCAGTGAACATGCTAAAAATACCACAAAAACAAATCAGTGTTTCAAACATCTATCCCTCCATTTACAACAGCAGAAGATCTAGGCCATATCTAACCTCTGACTGAGTTTCCTGTCCATGACCCTGTGTGTTAATCACCGTCTCACACCATGTTTCTCACTATACTGTCAGCTTTGATATGATGTGCTAATTGAACCAAAGAGCGTAGGGGCAAGAAGCCGATCTAGGTCAAATAACAAGCTAAAAATATTTTATAAAGATTATTTGACTGTGGTCTCTTATATGTGAACATTTACAGCATCAAAGAAAGGAATAATCTGCATTAGAGATTATTTTGATAAACTCTTGTGATATTTGCATCATCCTCACTACACACAAAGCTAAAATCAGAAAGATCATTGTCGTGGTTCCCTGGCAGCTACACAATTGGAAGAAAGAACGTTTAGAGCAGGTCATCACACTGTTAGCTTAAAGTGCAACAGGGGCACTATATGCCAGTCTTTGTGGGATGCCACCTCTGTGAGAACATGACACGAGTTCTCACTACCAAGGATACTGCTAGGACCCCCCCGGACAGGAGGGCTGCCCATTGTGCTGCCTGCCTAAAGGCAGAGAGGACAGACGGTGTAGTGGCAGGGGGAGAGGATGGGTGGGATAAGAGGTTAAAGAAATTAACAATGACGAAAGGGACAGGGGATAAAAACCGCAGATAGGGAGGATGACTAATGTAGAAAAAACATCATCTCCGACCTTCTTGGGTAGTTCACGCAGGGGTCGCTCCACTACGTATTCCTTACTATGAGCTAGTAAACCCACCACTGCTCACAGTCGTCTCTGACCCAGAGAGAGAAATGCATAGCTCTCCTCCAGCCCTCCCCCCTCTCGTCTGTCTGCCGTGTGTGTACATGCTGTGACCACGGCATCACGTAACAGAGCAGGAAGGGCTGAGACAGCTCGCCGATCCAGTTCCAGCCGAAGGATCCATGCCAGAGTGCCGCTCCAGCCCCAGATCCACCCTCAGCCTCAGCCAATGTGTTTGCTGACTGGGGGAGGCAGCCATTCAATGGCCTCTTCCATGTCAGGGAGGAGAGACGCCCAGAGTTAACCCCGTCCCTGCTGGGGCAGACAGGGCAGACACGGCCAAGTAGTCAGCATGCCAGGGAACACGAATCCACTGCTGCTGCTTTGGGTGAATTAGACCGAGCTTAGAACGACTGGAGCTGGGCCAAAGCAAAGATAGGTAGAGCTAGTAAATCAGCTTTTGAACCGTACAATTAATCAATGCACTACCCTGGAATTTTATTTTCTCTTCCAGTTATTTTCTTTATTGATCCGAAGTATATTTACCATTTTCCTCTACCGATTCTATCTGATCCCAGCACAGTGGTCTCAGCAGGGAGTAGTACAGTAGCATAACACCATTACTGCAGCCGCATTATTCCCCATTCTGCTCACGCTAGCGCTGGGCTACACCAGCTAGCTGCTATGCCAAACATGCTCCAGTCAGCTCCCTCATTCATTCATCCCCTCCTCCTCCACTCTTCTCTATCCCTCCTATCCGCCACAGCCTCACCCTGCCCTGCACCACTATCTATCTCTCCATCTGCCTGCTTTTCTAGGCCACTCAGCCCCTCCCACTTTCATTCATACATCGCCTTGTGTTGTTTTCATACTGGCGGGATGGGGGGGGGGGTTCAACAACAAGAGGAGGAGGAGCAGCAGGCAGTAGCATCCTGGAGAGCTTATCTCTCATTAAGCTAAACACACACACACACACACCTCACTGTGTCATTCAGTAATTTGCTTGCTACTTCCCTACACACACACACACACACAGTTCCAGTAAGGGTTTTAAATGCAAAGCTTGATCAAAGGTGTGCTGTGTTTACCTTTCATTTGGCCATGGCAGTAAAGAACCCGGCTGCTCAGTCCCCAGGGAAGGAACATGGGAGAAGCTGAGTAGCCAATGGCGTGCAGCCACACACGGCAACACTTCCTGATCTTAACACATAAAACCTCCCCTTTAATTGGCAGTGTAGTCTACAAGCGAAGTGCTTGGAACAATAACAACACGTTTTTACCCCAGAGCCATTTACTCAGGAGAACACATGCACATCCACCGCCTTACACATACACACACTCTGCTGGATTCACGTTTACTATATTTGGCCACGGTGGGAGTCCTAAGCTTCAAAAGCGTTGCTATAAATGCCCCGAGTGATCTGATGTAAGACATTCGCCCTAAGAGAGTAGAAAAGAGACATGTGGCGGGGAGAGGATTGCTGAGAGAGAGAAAGTGATACGGTCATCAGTAGCGTCGATATACATTCAAGCAAGCACAAACATGGACAAACCCAAATACACATGCTAAGTCTGTTTGTGTTCACAGTGATGGTCAAAAGTAACAGAGGAGGGAGAGTAGAGGTAAAAGACAGAGAGGGAGAAAGATGGAGGGAAGGGTTACTTTAATCTAGCAATTGGCCCTCACGGGAGATTTAAATATACGTTATCTTAACTTTGAACTACCCATCTGTATATAGATCAAAAAAGCCCTTTCCCTTATCATAAGCTCCACCCTTTCCATAACTTGTTTAGTGGTCAAAGTCAGAACTGCATGTTATTAGTGATTCAAATCAATAGTAACTAGTGAGATGAGATCCCTTTTCTTTTACGACAAACATTGTTAGCCTCAGTGCTAAATATGTAAAGTTCACAGTCTCATTGGAGTATTATTGGCTCTCCTGCTATTTTACATAAATATTTTATATCATACCTTTTACTTTTTTTTAATGGATGTGAATATTTTTTATCAGTGTAATTCAGTGCACGCTGGCAGTATTTGTGATATATTACA